AAAAAAAAAGAATAATTTCTGAGTAACATGTGGTTTGTATTTTCCCAAAAGACAGTTCCAGATACGAATCCATTGCCCATTTTTAAAGCCAATATCAGAACAGGTTTGTTAACACGGTGCTCTCTCAAACAACCGAAGAACACAGACAACAGTTAATGCCCAACTACATTTAAAACAGTCTGTTTCATTTTGACCTAAACCGTGTGCACAAAACTCTGCAGGGATGTCGACCCACAGTCAGCGCTTCTGCTGTTTGCTACGTCGGTTTGGTGGTTTTCAGGCTTCACGTAGCATCATTATGTCAACAATCTAAACATTGTTTTAGGTGTAATTGAGCCAAAACCTGACTGAATATTCACATACAAGCTGTTTTCCAAGGCTATAGTGTTTGGCTGCAAACAACAGATTTCACCGAGCAGTGAGGCTAATGCCTTTCACGCCGCTTTGTCTCAACTCAAAAAAAGTCACAAAAGTAAAAGAAAGTAATAATAATTAAAACAATCTCAGAAAAAAATGACTTACCAAGCATGGCAGACAACTCAGAAATCTGTAGAGTGAAATGTTCTGAAACGGCTTCACTTTGGTGCTGGGGCCGGAGTCTGTGCATTTACTATATTAGTGTCATAGCCCCTTTAGGAGTTCAGAGTTCAGAGGTCAAGAGTTCACGCTTCCATTGTAACGCCTCCAGATTTGATATAGAAACACTCGATTTCAACAGTATTATTTTACACCTCAGACTTACGTCTAAAGACTGTAACTGTCAAATTAAAGTACGAACACCAACATATTTAACACTTTTGAATTTGCTATGCAGGTCATTTCCAGGCCGGACACATGGTGGCGCTGTGGCAGCAGCATCTGTGAGGCTCACAAAAGTGGAGCACATTTTTATTCTCGGGCTCAGTCGCACTGTTGCCTAGCAACAGCAGCAGCATCTCAGAGAGAGGGGCGTCCTGTATGGAGGGTGATTAATGCCGCGTATGGCTGCACACCAGCTCGCTCTTGTTATTATCAAGTTTCACACTTTGGATGTTTGTCTTCATCTCTGTGGACGGGAACAGGGTGGTTGCTGCTCCGCCTTCTCCTCTTTACCCCACACAGTGGGCAGAGTCAACTGTCCAGAAAAACTGTAAAAAACATGAATTCTGCCTGCAGGGAATGAAGTAATCAGATTACACTGCAGGCAGATTTGTTACTGACGGAAGCCTCGTGGTGTCAGAGTGAAGCACACCGAGAATGATTAAGAAATAAAACTTTATGTAAATGTCGGCTCCAAACACTGATTTTGTATCGATGCTGCAGGGCCCGCGTCACCGCCAGCGTCACTGCCCGCGTCACTGCCCGCGTCACCTCCACTTTGACTTATAAAGCCAGCAAACGCGTGTGAGCCCAGCCGAGTGTTTTACACCTGAAACGGTGAGTACACATTCTTCATGCTTGGTGTTCGAGGTAGACTGTTTTTACCTATAATAATTATTTTAACACTGAATATATGAGCTGAATGCGCGAATCTAGTCTATAAACAACAAAGAGTTTCAGGGCCAAATTAAGAAAAACATAATAATGAGTCAGTGAAACAAACCGATCAGCCGTCCTGCGATACAACACCCGTCCTCTTACTGCTCCAGGCCCTCGATGACCTCACAGCTGTTCAAATCCACTGTTCCACGATTTCCTGTGTGAGCAGCTTCTGCAGTGTCTGTGCAGCGTTCTCACGCTGATCACCATCCTGCGTCTTTGAGCTGAAACACAAATCACGTTCTTCCTTTAACCATCCTGAAGTACGACCTCACAGTTTGTCCTGAAACAACAGCTGTAACCTGCACAGATCATTTGTTTTCTTCATGTTTCCACGATACTCAGTCCTGATACTCAGTCCTGATACTCAGCCGTGATACTCAGTCCTGATACTCAGTCCTGATACTCAGCCATGATACTCAGCCGTGATACTCAGTCCTGATACTCAGTCCTGAT